TCCCGGGGGTAGGGCGGGGCCAAAATGGCCGACCAAAGTTTAACATAGAAATATATAGGAAAATTCTTTAAAAATCTTCTTCTCAAGAATGACAAAGCCATAATTCATCATATTTATATGGAAGCATGCTCAGGTAGTGTAGATTCAAGTTTGTTCAAATCATGACCCCTGGGGGTAGGGCGGGGCCAAAATGGCCGACCAAAGTTTTACATAGAAATATATAGGAAAATTCTTTAAAAATCTTCTTCTCAAGAATGACAAAGCCATAATTCATCATATTTATATGGAAGCATGCTCAGGTAGTGTAGATTCAAGTTTGTTCAAATCAAGACCCCCGGGGGTAGGGCGGGGCCACAATGGCCGACCAAAGTTTTACATAGAAATATTTAGGAAAATTCTTTAAAAATCTTCTTCTCAAGAATGACAAAGCCATAATTCATCATATTCATGTGGAAACATGCTCAGGTAGTGTAGATTTAAATTTGTTCAAATCATGACCCCTGGGGGTAGGGCGGGGCCAAAATGGCCGACCAAAGTTTTACATAGAAATATATAGGAAAATTCTTTAAAAATCTTCTTCTCAAGAATGACAAAGCCATAATTCATCATATTTATATGGGAGCATGTTCATGTCGTGTAGATTCAAGTTTGTTCAAATCAATTCCCCCGGGGGTGGGGCCGGGCCAAAATGGCCGACCAAAGTTTTACATAAAAATATATAGGAAAATTCTTTAAAAATCTTTTTCTCAAGAATGACAAAGCCATAATTCATCATATTCATATGGAAACATGCTCAGGTAGTGTAGATTTAAATTTGTTCAAATCATGACTCCCGGGGGTAGGGCGGGGCCAAAATGGCCGACCAAAGTTTTACATAGAAATATTTAGGAAAATTCTTTAAAAATCTTCTTCTCAAGAATGACAAAGCCATAATTCATCATATTCATATGGAAACATGCTCAGGTAGTGTAGATTTAAATTTGTTCAAATCATGACTCCCGGGGTAGGGCGGGGCCAAAATGGCCGACCAAAGTTTTACATAGAAATATATAGGAAAATTCTTTAAAAATCTTCTTCTCAAGAATGACAAAGCCATAATTCATCATATTCATATGGAAACATGCTCAGGTAGTGTAGATTTAAGTTTGTTCAAATCATGACTCCCGGGGGTAGGGCAGGGCCAAAATGGCCTACAAAAGTTTTACAAAGAAATAGGAAAATTCTTTAAAAATCTTCTTCTCAAGAATGACAAAGCCATAATTCATCATATTTATATGGGAGCATGCTCAGGTAGTTTAGATTCAATTTTGTTCAAATCATGACCCCTGGGGGTAGTGCGGGGAAATGGCCGACCAAAGTTTTACATAGAACTAGAGGTACTGTGAGCAATGAGCTCACTAAATGATACCCCCCGCCTCCCATAATGTCGATGTGTTGCTTTATATTGTTTTACGGTAATGTGTAAAGAGGAATAACTCGTCCTATCAAATGTTATCCAGAAGCTTCTATTATGTGACGTCATAGGTAAACAAAAAATGGTTATGTCCATGTTTTGCTCTGGGAAACCTAAAATACGTGTCGAATCAAAAAGTAAAATAGGAGGTGCACAATGGCAATATGTAATAAAGATTCTGTGAAAGTTTCATTAAATTTCACTCAGTAGTATAAGAGGAGTTGCGGATAAGAGAAAAAGCGTAACAGACGGACGGACGGACGGACGGACGTACAGACGGACGGACGGAAATCCCGATCACTATATACCCTCCCGCTTTTCAAGCGGGGGGTATAAATATATAGGAAAATTCTTTAAAAATCTTCTTCTCAAGAATGACAAAGCCATAATTCATCATATTTATATGGGAGCATGCTCAGGTAGTGTAGATTCAATTTTGTTCAAATCATGACCCCTGGGGGTAGGGCGGGGCCAAAATGGCCGACCAAAGTTTTACATAGAAATATATAGGAAAATTCTTTAAAAATCTTCTTCTCAAGAATGACAAAGCCATAATTCATCATATTTATATGGAAGCATGCTCAGGTAGTGTAGATTCAAGTTTGTTCAAATCAAAACCCCCGGGGGTAGGGCGGGGCCAAAATGGCCGACCAAAGTTTTACATAGAAATATATAGGAAAATTCTTTAAAAATCTTCTTTTCAAGAATGACAAAGCCATAATTCATCATATTTATATGGAAGCATGCTCAGGTAGTGTAGATTTAAATTTGTTCAAATCATGACCCCCGGGGGTAGGTCGGGGCCAAAATGGCTGACCAAAGTTTTACATAGAAATATATATGGGAAAATTCTTTAAAAATCTTTTTCTCAAGAATGACAAAGCCATAATTCATCATATTTATATGGGAGCATGCTCAGGTAGTGTAGATTCAAGTTTGTTCAAATCATAACCCCTGGGGGTAGGGCGGGGCAAAAATGGCCGACCAAAGTTTTACGTAGAAATCTAACATAGGAAAATTCTTTAAAAATCTTCTTCTCAAGAATGACAAAGCCATAATTCATCATATTTATATGGAAGCATGCTCAGGTAGTGTAGATTCAAGTTTGTTCAAATTAAGACCCCCGGGGGTAGGGCGGGGCCAAAATGGTCGACCAAAGTTTTGCATAGAAATATATAGGAAATTATTCTTTAAAAATCTTCTTCTCAAGAATGACAAAGCCATAATTCATCATATTTATATGGGAGCATGTTCATGTAGTGTAGATTCAAGTTTGTTCAAATCATGACCCCCGGGCGTGGGGCGGGGCCAAAATGGCCGACCAAAGTTTTACATAGAAATATATAGGAAAATTCTTTAAAAATCTTCTTCTCAAGAATGACAAAGCCATAATTCATCATATTTATTTGGAAGCATGCTCAGGTAGTGTAGATTCAAGTTTGTTCAAATCATGACCCCCGGGGGTAGGGCGGGGCCAAAATGGCCGACCAAAGTTTTACATAGAAATATATAGGAAAATTCTTTAAAAATCTTCTTATCAATCATTTTTTAAAAAATAGCAAATCCATGATTGGTCATGGGACTACTTTTGGATTTAAACTTTACAATAAAAAGCCATTTTATACTAGTTCTACCCTTGGTACTCAGGTGAGCGATGTGGCCCATGGGCCTCTTGCTTTAATATCCTACCTTAACACAGGATCGTCATTCTATTTTAAATAGCAGTTGCAAAAGTTTAACGTCAAAGTTCTACTTTGTTAAGTATTAAATATCAGTGGTGGTACTGTCTCATCAAACACAACTTGTATTTTTAGCTCTACTGGTCAGAGACCAGAAGAGCTTATGCAATAGTAATGCGTCCGTCGTCCGTCCGTCCGTCCGTCTGTCTGTCTGTAAACAATTTTTCAAAATGCTACTCCTCCTACAATTTTGGACCGATTTCAATATAACTTAATACACAAGTAGACTACACTAAGACACATAATTCTGTGCATCTGTTTTTGATTTTGATGAAAGGTGTTGCCATGGTTACTAAAAATAGAGATTTCTGTGAAATTCTTTCAAAATGCTACTCCTCCTACAGATTTGGTCCGATTTCAATATAACTTAACACACAAGTAGACTACACTAAGTCACATAATTCTGTGCATTGGTTTTTGATTTCGATGAACGGTGTTGCCATTGTTACTAAAAATAGAAATTTCTGTGAAGTTCCTTTCAAACGCTACTCCTCCTACAGTTATGATCTGATTTCAATATAACTTGGCATACAAGTAGACTACACTAAGATACATAATTCTGTGCATAAGTTTTTGAATTTGATGAACGGTGTTGTCATGGTTACTAAAAATAGAAATTTCTGTAAAATTCTTTCAAAATGCTACTCCTCCTACAGTTTTGGTCTGATATCAATATAACTTGGCACACAAGTAGACTACTCAAAGATACATAATTCTGTGCATCGGTGTTTGATTTCGATGAACGTTGTTGCAATGGTTTTTACTTACTAAAAATAGAAATTTCTGTGAAATTCTTTCAAAATGCTACTCCTTCTACATTTTTGGTCCGATTTCAATATACCTTGGCACACAAGTAGACTACACTAAGGCACATAATTCTGTGCATCGGTTTTTGATTTTGATGGACGGTGTTGCCATGGTTACTAAAAATAGAAATTTCTGTGAAATTCTTTCAAAATGCTACTCCTCCTACAGATTTGGTCCGATTTCAGTATAACTTGGCACACAAGTAGACTACACTAAGATACATAATTCTGTGCATCGGTTTTTGATTTGATAAACGGTGTTGCCATGGTTACTAATAATAGAAATTTCTGTGAAATTCTTTCAAAATGCTCCTCCTCCTACAGTTTTGGTCTGATTTCAATATAACTTGGCACACAAGTAGACTACACAAAGATACATAATTCTGTGCATCAGTTTTTGATTTCGATGAACGGTGTTGCCATGGTTACTAAAAATAGAAAGTTCTATGAAATTCCTTCAAAATGCTGCTCCTCCTACATTTTTGGTCCGATTTCAATATACCTTGGCATACAAGTAGACTACACTAAGACACAATAATACTGTGCATCGGTTTTTATTTTGATGAGTGGCAAGGATAATTTTTCTTTTTATTGCTGTTTGAAATTTTCAAGTCCCAACTGCTACATTTCTATTCCTTTGTTTTAAGTATAAACCAGTAGAGCTATAGTCTCGACAGAGACTTCTGGTTAATGTAGTATTTCAACATGATGTCACCGTGCTGTGCAGCTGTTGTAACAAACCCATGTATATATATACAGTGTACTAATTCATATTGAGAATGTTATCATCAAAACGAAGAATTACTCTTCTCCAAATATCAATGACATTTTAACCAGATTTTTCACACACAAAAAAATTCAATTCATTTTGTTCGTCATACTTAACTCAATTTTGAATGAACTTTGTCATTTATTTCTTTAATATACCTAACATCCATTGGAGTAGGTTATTTGATTAAAAAAGTTTCAATTTTCGATTAGTTTATGAAATCGTTTTTACAGCATTATCAGGGAGTACAGACAAAGACGACAAACAGATTCTGAGTGTAGTAGATTTTGGAGGACAGTCTGCCTACTACGCCTGTCATCAGGTCTATCTCAGCAAAAGAGCGTTCTATCTACTGGTCATAGACATGTCCAAACCTTTTACAGAAAAAGTTGATGAAAATAAATGTGAGCAACGGGGAACAATGTTTGCAGACTGGACATATGGAGGTAATAAAAAGAGTTAAATGCTGAGTTAGTCAAAGTGTCTTTTATATTTAACCTTTATAATGATGATTGTATTTATATAGCGCCTTTCTAGTATTAATGCTACTCAAAGCGCTTTACAATGCATTATTACCCCAGCAGACCTTAACAATCCAGAATCTTTCTCATTGCAAGCTGCCGTTATCAGCGCTAGAACACTAACATTCTGACAAAATCTTTCACTGTTTATAGCCAGGTATCCCTTTCACACAGGGTGGAGTGAAATTCGTGTAAAGTGCCTTTCCCACGGACACAACGTCGGCTTGTCGCAGCCAGGATTCGCACTTAATATAAAGAACATTTGTCAATTAAAAACGATAATATTTGGCACAATAGATATAAATATTGAAGAAATAGCTCAGTTCGATTATAATTTTAAATATTGTGATATAAGTAATTTATATTAACAGCCATTCCTTTTTGTCCCATATAGATTTCGTTCATCAATAAAACATAAATAACTATACAAGTAATTAACAAGATAATTATGTGGCGGCTGTTCCAACCATGAAACATGCCATAAAAAATTAATACTACATACTTTACTACTTAGATGCATCTGATTACTAGTATCTATACGGTCGGAAATATTTTTAATTATATGTCTTGTTTCACTAAATGCAGGATTAACAATTGCAGTAAATGCAGAAATAAAATATGAAGCCAGCTTGAGCGATCTTTTTTCTGTCATACTCAATATATGTACCGTTTGATTCTTCCTCATTTTTTTTTATTCTGCACATCCTGTTTAAAACTAGATTTTGCATCATCAGCAAACGATGTTAAGGGCATGTACTGGAATAAGAATATCTGTCTGTTTGTCAGTTCCTTGTTAAGATAAGCTCCTGTAGTGGAGCAGATAGTGGGAAAATATTTCACTTGCGGATACAAGCACCAAATTTTGCATGAAGGTTCTTTGACTGGAATAAGAAATATCGTTGGCCATTCAAATTTCCGCCATTTTCAATATGGCCGCCACTTATTTCAAAATGACGTCTGTTTTTATCATTTTTTCCTGATATTTTGAATGTTTCTTGGTAATACTCTAATTTATTTCTGAAATAATAAAAGGGAACTTGGTACAGTATATGACATAATTTAAGCTTTATTTAATTGATACAAACGTTGCGCATGCACTTAAATACAAACATAAAATGTTTAATGACATAACTTGCAATCTTCGGAACAGTGTACAGCTGCATATAGTAGTGCAAGGTAATTTGGATCTAAAGTAGTTGAAGTTATTTTACACAATTTACCAGTTCTTGACATGATGCAACAATTAGTTGCAAGAAGTTGTCCAGTGTGAGACCAAAAATCCACATTCTGTTTTCCAGTCTTACCTGGAAGGTGATTGTCAATTTAGCCAATTGCACGGAGACTGTCCCACTAAATGTCCTGCAATTTAATTCTCCTAATAGAACATTTTACTTTGCCCGGAAGATTATTTCATTTATTGAGATTTTACGTGCCTTGAATGTGTGTTTCACTACATTAAGTTTTACATTCCTGGAAGAATTATTTCACTTATTGAGGACTTACATAAGAAAATTATTTCACTTATTGAGGACTTACATAAGAATTTACTTGGTTTTTATGACCACTGGATAGTGAGGGAACGCCTGAGAAGCTTTTGTGAAAATTTCTACCACAAGTTTTTAAGGAATTGCATCTCGCTACTGTGACGATACGATACATTTTATACAATGTAATTATATATAAATTCTACAATAGTAAACAATCATAGACATCTGATGTTACTTATATTTCTTTTGATAATAAAGATATACCCCTACATAATACTTTATCAGGTATGTTTATTTTTTTTATTAAAAGAAAAATAGGTAATGTCAGGTGTCTATGGGAACAATACCAATTCGTATATATAAATGCATTATAAGAAAATAATTTTGTTTTTATTTATAGCATTCAAAGTGAAATATGATTTATATAGTCTTTTTAAACTTCTAAAATATCTTTCAGTGACTAAAGTAGAATTTATTTGGTTGTAAGAGACTCTAGGTGAGGCCAAACTGCATAAAAAATGTCGCCATTTTGTTTAAGTGGCGGCCATCTTAAAAATGGCGGAAATCGCGGTAGCTTACGATGTTTATAGATTTAGTAGCATCAGATATACATCTGTGCCAAATTTCATGCTTATATCCACAAGTGAAATAATTGGCTGAAAGTTTGATCTAAGTCGCTACACTATTGGTGTTTTCATCATGATTTAAAAAAAAAACAATTGTCCGATGGTGTAAACGAGGACTATCGCAAGGAAGGTTTTCTGTCTCATTGTTTTCTTTTAGAACATTTACTATTAATCAGCAGTTACCTGTATCCTTTAGAAGTTATACAGACACAAGCTATTATTGTACTTTATAGCATATGTCAGTTGTGATTAAAGTCAGTTCAATTACAGACTATTCTATTTGAATATCCTCTTCCGTTCTTCTGACTTTGGCAGTAGAAGCAATAGGAGGCGATTAAAAAACTTTTATGCGCTAAATGTAATGCGTAAATAACATTAAGCTAAACTAAATCTAATCAGAGAGTTGTGTCGGAAATCTTAGCTAAATAATGAATGTCTTTTTTTTCATTTTAAAATATTTGTCAAGCCCATTCAGTTAAAAATATAAACACTTATATTTTGTGTTGTGATTTCAGAGTACGTTCTTTTCTGGCTGAAATCTATTCACACGTACTGCGCTGAGGACACATCAGTCATTATTGTAGCTACACACAGTGAAAATGCTACACAGAAGGTAATGTGTTTACTATCTACATCAGAGTGGAATATTCTTTTTCTTAGTTTTATTTCACACTTTGAAAAAAAAATGGAGGATGCACCTGTACTTTAAAACTGTATAAATATATTTTGCTCGATAAGACTATGATATTATTAACAAAGCTCAGGGTTACGTATACTGGTAATAAATTACTTCATATATTAGTTTATTTCTTTTTCTTGCGAATCAGATTAATATTAGCTTCAACTTGTCCGTTGACAAAAGTCTGTCTGTCGCAACGATTTGAAACATGTTGCACATTTTGCATACTCGTGGTCTACGTTATCGACATATTCTCATCAACACAAGTATAATTTCATTACATGTATGTCCTTATTCTCCCTCTGTCAATCGAAAGTTATTTCCGGCCTTCTATTTTCAATTTATTTCAATTTAAATTGAATCTAGTAGCAAAGTTTGTAAGTTTCTTGATGCACCTGACTTTGAGCGAAATCGTTACCGGATATGTGAAGCGCCAAGTAAACGTCAAATTAATTAATACAGTCCAAAAATCACATCTTGCAAATTAGAAATTGGGTTTCTGATTTACTATTATTTGATCAGGTAGTGCGAGTATTTGCCTAATTCAAGGATTCTTCTCTAATTTCCGAGCAGATGAATTATTCAAAGTAAATTTTCTTGAATGTATTATATATTTAGGTGTAAGAGATTTAAAAGACCATATTTTTCTTTCCTTATCATAATTCAAAAATTTAAATAGAATGATAAACTGTGTTTGAAAACAAGCAGGTACTATATAGTTTTGGTGAAATTGTGTCGTATGAAGATATCGTCTTTTCTGCCTCTCAAAATTATTATAGAACATTGAATTTAGTCATTTTTTAACCAATCAAGACTAGACGAAATTTCAAATTTTAGTCAAATTAATAATAAGGGATTTCAGTTTCAAAGTATATCAAAACAATAAGATTTTTCAGACATACTAGAACTATGATGGCTTTTAAATGCTTCAAATATAAGTACAAATTTGAGCCTAAAATCCGCAAAAAGGTGTTATTTTTCTCTTTGTAAACGATCAAAACTTTTAAGTCTTTGTATCATTTTATAGATTTATGTGACAAATTTACTAAATGTGAAAATGAGAAAAAGTTAATAAATATAAGAAGCAATTATTATAACTAGTATATCCTCAAAAAAAATTAAGAGAACTAGAGGAATTTCGGATTAGCAAATATTCTCTCTATTTGAAATATGTATGTCAGTTTTGTAATATCATATTACAGGCCCTATATCATAGTATCTTTGTTAAGCAAATAGAGAAAAACATTAAAATTGTTTGGATCCAATGATTCAAAACTGTACTTTCAATTCTTAAAGCTGGACACGACTCGTAAATAGGCAAACGCCAATTTCACTAGCATTATCCACGATACACCAATACTAGGTACTTGTATACTTGTGCTGGTTATCTTTCATTACCTTGTTATGTTCCCCAAACGAAGTTGGGGAACATATTGTTTTTACTCTGTTTCTTATTATTATTATTAAGGTCTTCCGTCTTCAGTGGAAGACCTTCTTGTTATTCTTCGGTTTCTTTTTCACTTTTTAGGTCACCTGAGTAACTCAGGTGACCTATTGCTATCTGTTTTCGTCCGTCGTCGTCCGTCGTCCGTCGTGTGTCGTGTGTCGTGTGTTAACATTTGAACATTTTCAGCCTCTTCTCTGAAACCACTGAACCAATTTCAACCAAATTTGGTATACAGCATCTATGGGTGGAGGGGAACAAAAATTGTGAATTTCATGGTCCCCGCCCCCCTGGGGCCTGAGGGGTGGGGCCAAAACCACTAAAATTAATGAAATCTTTAAAAATCTTCTTCTTTACTCCTGGACATCAAGCAGGCAAACTATTGGCATGAATGTAATAAGCATTGAGTCCTATACCAAAATTGTGAAATTCATGGCCCCAGGGTCAGGGGTTCTAGTGCTAGGGTGGGGCTCTATAGATTATATAGTGAAAATGCATTATTTCTTTGAAAATCTTCTTCTCTGCTCCTGGGTATTAAATACACTAACTAAGCACATAGTTATGATGAGCAAGAGTGCCTCTTCCAGATTTGTGAATTTTATGGCCCCAGGGTCAGGGGTTCTGGTGTTAGGGCGGGGCTCTATAGATTATAGAGTGAAAATGCATTATTTCTTTGAAAATCTTCTTCTCTGCTCCTGGGTATTAGATAAACTAACTAAGCACATAGTTATGATGAGCAAGAGTGCCTCTTCCAGATTTGTGAATTTTATGGCCCCAGGGTCAGGGGTTCTGGTGTTAGGGCGGGGCTCTATAGATAATATAGTGAAAATGCATTATTTCTTTGAAAATCTTCTTCTCTGCTCCTGGGTATTAGATAAACTAACTAAGCACATAGTTATGATGAACAAGAGTGCCTCTTCCAGATTTGTGAATTTTATGGCCCGAGGGTCAGGGGTTCTGGTGTTAGGGCGGGGCTCTATAGATTATAGAGTGAAAAAGCATTATTTCTTTGAAAATCTTCTCCGCTCCTGGGTATTAAATACACTAACTAAGCACATAGTTATGATGAACAAGAGTGCCTCTTCCAGATTTGTGAATTTTATGGCCCGAGGGTCAGGGGTTCTGGTGTTAGGGCGGGGCTCTATAGATTATAGAGTGAAAATGCATTATTTCTTTGAAAATCTTCTTCTCTGCTCCTGGGTATTAGATAAACTAACTAAGCACATAGTTATGATGAGCAAGAGTGCCTCTTCCAGATTTGTGAATTTTATGGCCCCAGGGTCAGGGGTTCTGGTGTTAGGGCGGGGCTCTATAGATTATATAGTGAAAATGCATTATTTCTTTGAAAATCTTCTTCTCTGCTCCTGGGTATTAGATAAACTAACTAAATACATAGTTATGATGAACAAGAGTGCCTCTTTCAAGTTTGTGAATTTCATGGCCCCAGGGTCAGGGGTTCTGGTGTTAAGTCGGGGCTCTATTGATTATATAGTAAAAATACATTTATTCTTTGTAAATATTTTTCTTTGCTTCTGGGTTTTAAGCCAATTATTCAAGTATATATATATATTTATGATGAAGAAAGGTGCATCTAGCAAAGTGGTTTTTAACGCCCCCAGGGTCAAAGGGGGGGGGGGGGTTACATAGCCTGAAAATAAATTAAATCTTTGAAATCTGCTCTTTAGTATTTATCAACCATTTTATGATAAAATTTGCAAAATTTTGAAATATATGGCCCTGGGTCAGTGGTTCCTTTGGGGTGAGGTGCACAACTGGTTATAAAGTGGAAGTGCATTTTCTCTTTGTTACTCTGATCTACCTCTGGGTATTAAGTAAATAGAGTAAGCATGCTAAGTTAATAATTATGATAAGCAATGGTGCCTCTTTCAAAATTGTAAATTGTGAATTTCTTGGCCTCCGGTTTAAACACGAACCAAATTTAATTGTTTGAAAGTTGTTACACAATACTCAGGTGACCTATAAGGCCCGTGGGCCTCTTGTTTTCTTACCTATTATTATTCTTTTTTTTCTTACCGATTTTGTGCACGCGATTTCTCGAAAACGGCTCGATGGATTTCCATGAAACTTTCAGGACTCATGTAACATTACTTGAACTTGATTCATTTTTTTCCGTTTTGATGACGTCACTTCCGGTCCGGAAATATTTTCGATTTTATGATTTTTGAAGGGTCAGGTTGTCCGCGAACGTTCTAAAAACTGGCTAAAGATAGAAACGTGAAAATTTCAGGTGTGATAGTCCTAAGTCTATAGATGTGCAAAATGAATTTCATTTTTATCGGAAGTGCCGCGCGTCGGCGCTCGCTATGGCCCGAAAATTGTCCTATCGCGAATTTCAAATTCTTTACAACCTTTTCTATGATATCTTTTTACTTTGAAATATTTTTTTATAATATATATAACAAAAGAAGTGTAGAATTCCAAGATCTTTCAAATGATATCTCGAAAAAAGGGCTGGCCCCTAAAATTAAGGGACTGGAGGGGCCATAAGTATTTCCTTTATATCTCAAAAAGTATTGAGAATTTGTAATACATCAAAGAAGCAAAGTTGTTTAAGCTTAATCTACGGGCGTCGTCAAAATACGTCCGACGACGTCGCTTCCGGCCAAACCGGAAGTAGTCGGAAAAGCGCGTATTTTGGTCATTCTTGACAAGTTTTGGGGTATCTTATGTCACTAGGAACATAAAAATAAGTTTTCCGTCCATCGTCATCACTTCCGGTCAAACCGGAAGTAGCAATGGCTTATTTTTGCATTAATTAACATAGATTTTGAGGATTCAACCAATTTTGGGGCGTAATTTCTCATATTCGTTAAAAATGAAAACTACTTCCGGTCAAACAGGACGGAAGACCAACCCGTTGCTTTGCAACGAGCTTTGCTCTAGTTAAGGTCTTCCGTCTTCAGCGGAAGACCTTATTGTTTTTCTTCGGTTTCTTTTTCACTTTTATTAAGGTCTTCCCACTTCCTTCGGAAGACCTTATTGTTTTCCGTCGGTTTCCTATTATTATTATTATTATTATTCTTTTTTCATAGTTATAGCGATATCTCAGCCGTGACTGTACGGATTTCAAAGATTCTTACAGGAAAGATGCATGACATTAATATCTCCAGACGTGTTTTTCATTTTTTCTAAATTTGCTTCCATTCGCGATTTTTTGGGAAATTTGTATTTTTTAAATGCATTTTTGTACCCCCGTTTTCTCGAAAACGGCTAAAGATATGACATTGAAACTCATGGACATGAAAGAGCATCACATGTAGATGTGCCGAACGTCCTTCATTTTTTGTCGTTTCTACTTCCGGTCGCAAACGGAAGTGAATTCAAAAAGTCTAATTTTCCAACTTTTTTGTTTTTCAATATTTTTCTTTCAGATTTACAGGGTTTATAGAGCGTCTTCAAAGAAATCTATATATGTTTTCATTTATTTCATGCGAGCGTTTATTGCAAAGATATGACAGAACCAAACTTT